AGACTTCAAACAACTAGATGCATGCAGTTTCCTGGATTACAGCCCTGATGGCAGCAATGGATGCAGGCCTGGCCGAGGGCTGCAGCCTGGAAATTCCGGGTGCATTGAGTGAATTCATGTGTTTTATTATTTAGACCGTGCAAGAGCTCAGACAAGGCTGAACTCAGAGGCCAGGAAATGCCTCAAGGCACACGTGGAGCCTCCTGATTCCAGGACATTCGTCTGCATTTATGCATCCAAGTCCCTGCTTACTTGCCATGAGATGTTGGCCCACAGGTCCCCCAAGCTGCTGCTCCTCACTGAAATTAAAGGGCTGATCTGTCAGAAAGGAAAGAGAAGCCCCCATTGCTTCAGATGTTAGAGATTTCCATCTGATTAGTCACTGGTGGTTTCTAGCCCTGCCTTGGCCAGGGAACAAGCTGGATCTGATGGCTTGTGCTTTGCAGAAGATACAACCCCCAACTTTCTCAACACAAATCTCTGCAGGCAGTTGCTAAAGGGGCCGTTTCTTGAAGCAGTACCAGCCACAAAACAGTAACTTCACAAGAGCACAGCTGGAACACAGCAACAACAGACCCTCCCCAATGCACTGGCAGCTGCTGCCCATCCCAAGGGCTTCCTGCCTGACTGCTATAATCAAGATATGTGGTTTTCTCTCTCCATCTTTCACCATAGCCCAGAGACAAGCACCCCTCCAGCAGGATGGCCGGGAACTCACTCAGTTCTGATGCTATTTAACTTGCAGGTGATTTTCTGACAGGGAATGCTTTCCTCAGTGCCCCTCTCTCCCTTTCTAAATGAGCTGCTCCATTCCCAAAGCCTGAGATCACTGCAGTCACAGCTGCTGGGCACCGACAGCTCAGGGCTGCCGCTCTGCTTGCTTCAAGCCGGTACCTGGAGCCGGGCTTTTCCTGGTGACCAGATCCCGGGGCTGCCCAGGCTGCTCCTTTTCCTCGCCCAGGGCCTGTGGTTTGCAGCATTCCCACCACAAGGCACACCTTGTGAATGGACAGAGCCTGGTATTTCATTCACCAGCTACTAACTTCCTTTACACAACTGTTTGGCTCCTCCTGTATTAAGCAGAACAGCAGAACCATTGTAATACCATGGAAGCGCTGCCCTGCACGGGTCAGTAACAATGTCAAGGTCTTTTCAATTCAGAGTTAACCTCATTGACACAGGTCAGGAAGTGCTGAAGTGAAGGAGCGGGGTCAGGACATTCAGCTCCCAGCTTTGCCACGTACATTCCCTTTCACCCTGAAGACTCTATAATTTCTCACCCATGAAAACAGAAATATTTCCCAGAAAGGCTGAAATAAAATATTGATATTTTCCAAAACACTGGGATGGATTTAAGCCTTCCAGGACCCACTCAGCCCAGTGCAGCAGCACAGGACACCAGGCAGCACCATAACACAAACTGTAATTAACAAATAGCCCCAGAGAGATTAATATTAACCAGCACCTTCCAGCTTGCCTCAGGCATGAATGAATTCTCCATAGATGAAGTTCACATAGAACCACTTCAGCTCTGCAGTGTGGATCATAGAATCACAGCATGGTTTGTTGGAAGGGACGTTAAAGCTCACCCAGTTCCATGGGCAGGGACCCCTTCCACTGGAGCAGCTTGCTCCAAGCCCCTGTGTCCAACCTGGCCTTGAGCACTGCCAGGGATGGGGCAGCCACAGCTTCTTTGGGCACCCTGTGCCAGTGCCTCAGCACCCTCCCATGGGTCACTTGCTTGTCCACCATCCCTGTGTGCTCCCAGGAGCCGGAGCTTGGGAGGAACTGGAGCTGATCCCCAGGGCAGGAGGAACCCTCTGGCTCAGCACGTGTGCAGAGCTGCTTCCAGGAGCAAACCCAGCGCAGCTTCTGCAGCAAACCACATCCATCTACTGACAGCTATTTAAAAGCAGCTTCCAGGACAGAACATCTGCTCTCAGGTGGAGCCAGGGCTCAACATGAAATAGTTTCTATGCTGAGTTATAGTATATGAATAACATTGGTGTTTCTCCCATTTTAAATCCATTTTCCTAATCTTTTTCCTGCAGCATCTGGGGGAAGATGCATTAGCTCCACGCTCCCAGAGGAAAGCCTCTCTGGCTGCTCCAGAGGTGCAAATGCAAAAGGTAACAGCAAAGCATGAGGAGAGACAAAAGAATCCAATATTCTTCATTCACAATTCCTTCAGTTTTAGCAGCTCCACAGAGCTACTGACTCGCAGCAGAAGCAGCAGCTTCTTTAGATACATCAGTTTTAACCTCAGAGTGAGAAGGAAAAGGCCTATGGTTCAGTGCCCATCATCCCTGGGCAAAATCCTCTTGCTGAAAGAAACCCGGGAATAAAAGGTTTGTAAGCTATTTCTGCCCTGAAGGCAGTGATCACATACTAGCACTGACTTCAAGTAATTCATTCAGGGTTTGTATTGCTGCTCCACTCTCTGGGGCCTTACACAGGGGTCTTTTTATTGCTACCACTAAAAGAAGAAAGAGCAAACAGATCACTGAGATGCTGCAGCACATGCTTGCTTCCCCTTTCCCAGGCTTTAATGGGGCAGGGATCAGTCAGGCACTTGCAGATCAGGCCATTACACAGGTCTGGGCTTTGGATACTCACTTGGAAGACTCTCAGTCCAATGCCTCAGATTCAGTCCTAAGAAGACACTGTATTTGCTCCACTCCTGGTGGAATGGAGGCTACAGCTACTGCCCTTACCAGCACTGTCCTCTTATCCTGGGAGAAGTTAGTTAAGGCAGTTACAGGCTTGTGCTGCAAATTGCTCATTGAATATTGCCCTTGAAACTGCACTGTAATGATAAATTTCCACTTCCTTCCCCAGGCAGTTGCATAACATTGCAGGGCATTGTTCAGAGCTGCTGTGCTCCAAGCCAGAGGCAGCTGGTGCTGGTGTCCCTTTCCCCTTGTCCTCCCCAAGCACTGGCAGGACTGTGACCTTTCTTGTTGTGGGGTTTGCTTAGTACATTAGACAACAGAGAGACCCGACTCTGAACACAAGCAGCCTTCCAACAAGATTATGATTATCCCTACTTTCTTCAGCTTTCAGTGGGGAAAAAAATATCCCATTTATCCCAGTTAAATCTAAGCCAGTTGAAAAGCATATCTGTCAAATAACATTTAATTGAGTGTCTCTAGGGAGGAGCAGCTGGGTCAGTGGAAAGCTTTCCTGCTTTCCCACTGGCAGTATAAATAGCCTGGAATTGAAGAGCCCCACTCTGTGGTCGGGAGATGCAGCCTGTGTGCCCAGGCACAGGAGGGACTTTTGCTTTGTGGCTCTGGTTGGCAGGAGTTGTTTTTTCTTTATAACAGGGAAGTGGCTTTGCATTCTGGAAGCTGGGCTGGAAGCAGCACACAGAAGAGGACTGGAAGGGAGGAAGCTACATACACTTGAAGATACAATTGCTTTTAAAGCAGAACAGCAGCAGGAGTGAAATCAGATGCATCCCTCCAAGAAACTTCTTGCAGCCCAAGATCTGGCAGAGTTCAAACCTGTTTTTCAAGCACGGCTGACTGTAAGTTTGGACATCACCTAAAGCACAAAAATACAAGACCCGTTAGCCATGAACACTTTCAGATACTTTCCCAGGAGGAATGCATGTGATGACTAACATAACAGCAGGCAAAAGGCACCTCAGTGGTTAGTCATGGAGCACCGTGCTTGCGGCTCACTCATGCTTCACAGGCAGCACCCAGCTGGGAAGAGTCAAAGGCTGCCTTGATTCCAGAGCCAGCTCTCCATTCCTGGCGTGACCAAATCAAGCGTTCACATTCTTCTCACAGGGAATTGGCTCCAAGTGGTGTCCTCAGGCCACACGAGTCGCATAAACTCATTTGATTTTAGTTGACACAGTAGCAAACACCATATAACCTACAAATACATGGCCAACATACAAAGCTCTTTCTAGTCTGCCTGGCACAGGTGCCTTATACAATGTGAAGTATTCTGGGATAAAGGGACAGCTCCCACCCCTGGAGCAGGAGGCACAAGCAGCAGGCCTGGCATAACCTGAGACACTGAAGAGCAAGTCAGCAGGAAAGCACCATGTACCACCTCAGCTTGGTTTACACATGCACCTACACATCAAATTAACACCCTGCAGACACCAATCGTTTGGATTGCAGCAGCACCTAGAGGTCAGAAGTAAGATGAAGATCAGGCTGTGGTAGGCACCGCACAGGTACAAGGCACATCCTCTACCTGTCTAACGTCAAAGACCAAAGAGAGAAGGGGAAAAGAGCTTCTCTCCGTGCATCCCACAAGGCAAAACAAAGAAGAGTCATAAGGGATGCCCAAGGTCATAGAATCATAGAACAGTAGGGTTTGAAAGGGCCTTAAGATCATCAAGTTCCAAACCCCCTGCCATGGGCAGGGACACCTCACATCAAACCATCTCACCCAAGGCTTCGTCCAATCCGGTGTTTCCTGGGGAAACCTGCACAGCACCAGGGGCTGGTTCCCAGTCCAAGGCCTGACCAGCAAGGGTCCCTCTCTCTGCCGCGTAGAGACGATATTCTGCCTGGCTCCATGCTGGGATGACCACATTACTTACAAATGCTGAAACTATGAACAAGTTGCTCTAAATGCCCCAAACCAGATGTCAGCACACCCAGCCCTGCGTGCTCAGCTCTCCTGTAACTTTTGCTCAGGCCACCTATGATGCAGCACAGCTATTTTAGAGATGTTTGTCCTGTTTTCATATCTGCCTAATGGAGACTGACTGCACAGGCCTCCAAAGGAGAAGATGGAATCTTTCAGAAAGCTCTCAATCAGCATTCTTAAATGTCATAATCAAGGGATCTTGAGTTTGAGCTATGAAGTGAAGAGAGATTTAAAAAGGGCCATTCCCAGCTTCCTGGTGGTACAGAACACTGCATTTTCACTGTGATGCCAACTACCCTCCACTGCACATCTGCCCATCCAGGACCAAGAACCTTCAGTCACAGCACCAATGACAATGTCATTTTCAGCAGGAAAATCCTTACCTGGAGACAAGAAGAGCACAGCTGTGACTATTTGGAACATCAGAACAGGGAGATAGGGAAAATCTGCCAGGAAGTCAAAGACACAAGCAGTAGGTAAACTAGCCTGCAAGATCAAAATCACATACACATTATCTTCTCTACGTAAGTCCTGCTTGCACAACCGATAGCACTGCACCAACTCCAGGTATTTCTGTAAGGTAAAAACCAACAAGTAGTTACTTCCCATCCCCCCATCAGGAGCCACCCCAAGCATCAGCATCCCAGCACGTCCTGCGAGCTCCACCACAGCTCTGGCTGCCGGGCACAGGGCTGCTCCCTCAGAGCATGCACAGCACAACCAGACCAACCTTGCAGCAGCCTCTGCCACCCTCCTGCGAGCCAGCAGCTCCCCAGCCCTTGGGATCAGAGGATTTGTAGCCAGACACAAAGCTCTTTGGCACCGCACTGCTGCTTAAATCCAGCCCAGGTTAGCACCAGAAGGCTCCTTCACTTGAATATTCAGTGAAATCCCTTATGAACACTAAAAACCAGCACTGCTGGGGTGTCGATTTTCTCCCGAGGCTGACACAATTAAACACCACCTCTTTGAAAGGACAAATGCATCTTGAAAACAAGTAATATGTAACTTTTCCTTTTGAACGAAAAAGGCAACATTGCTTTTAGCATGATAGCAAGTCCAGACTTAAGGTTTTGAAAGTTTACTTTGCAAGCACTAGCAGCAGGAAAACGATGAGAATATGACATGGTCTTGTGATCCCTTGGGTACGCACAAAATGAACAGGAACCAACCCAGAGGGAGGTCCACTCCAGTGATGGGCTTGCCTTCTGATTTACTTTGAAAACACTGGTTTCTTTTGCCTTAACCACTGTGCTGAGCTATGCCCCTCCTTGCTGCCTTCCACGTCAGGAGGCCAACAACTTTTCCACCTCAGCTTTCCCTCCTCTGGAGATCCTGGTGCTCAGAGCACTAATTGCCCGCAGCACATTCAGGTCAGGTACCGCTGTAGTGACATTAATGAGCGAGATGGAGACTGTTGAGCATACAATCAAGAGAAGTTGTTAAACATCACAAACCCCAGCAGCTCTGCTGAAAACACAGAGCACTGGAGAGAACAGGGCAGAGGAGGGACAATACGTGCTTTAATCTGAGCTTTCATGCCAGATTTACTGATTTATACATTCCTGGTCTAATTGCAGCAACAGATAATGTTCTTTCTGTTGGGGGATCAATAACATCTGTGATGTCAGTGCAGTAATGGGTTCCCAAGACACCCGTGCCTCACTCTCACACTTGGAACTCTCCAAAGTGGCCTCTTTGGAGAGTAGAGCAGAATCCAGGGGAGCTCTCTGGACACTTGCCCATCCCCATCATGAGCTTGACACACTCTCCGGAACCATGATCCAAGGGAGTCACCTCATGGACTTGGTGCTTCCTATATATTAAAGGTCATCCAGCCATCCCAAGAAAACAAGCGAGAGTATCTGTGGCAGCGAGAAGCAGGCACTGCTGCAAGCAGGTATTTCACAGCTCCCACAGCCCAGCCCCAACAGAAGTCCTCAGAGGTCACACACAGCTGAATTAGACACATATTAGTTCCAGATCAACCTCCCCCATGGAAGGCAAAGCGTTAACCTGAGCTCATGCAAAACTTGCTCAGCTCAAGCTCATGGAGCACAAGCACAGAGTTTGATGTTTCCAGCAAGCCCCACCATGTTCAACACCAGGAGCTGAGCACGGCAGCCACACCACTTGCACACTGTTGGAAGCCACAACTGCTCCCTGCTTCCCAAGCCCTGTTCTCCCAGTAAGTCTCCCTGAAGACAACAGCAACAAAATAAACAGCATTAGAAAGGTGAGAGAGGCCACACAGAGCTGCACAGGACCTCTCTTGTAAAATGTTGTGTTATTGTTGTAGCAGAGATGCTCCCAACTTTGGTCTCCAAGTCTGACCTAGGCAGCAACAGGATACTGCTGCGAGCACAACAGGACACACATCTTTGCTTGGGATGGGTGGGATTTAGGGAAATACCAAGGGATGTAGGAAAATGAACAAACACTTTCAGGTTTGTGGCACATTTCTTCCATCCCATCTCTCTTCTTAGAGAAAACATCTCCCACAGCCCCCCAGATCAGGGGTCTGGCACCCGCTGCCTGCACTGGCACCTTCTGCAGTGCGTACACACGCGTTACTGCTCCCAGGCCAAGAAACACCCCACACTGAGAAAGCTTGGATTCCAGTCAGTATGGCTTTACCACCCAGACAGTACACCTGGTTCTGCCTATCACCCCAGATACACCTACTGGATGAAGTTTAGAGTCACGTATTTCAAGCTAGAAGTTTCCACACTGCGGTGAAGGTGAAGTTAAGAAACTCGAAGCTCCAACTCCAGTTAAAACAGTGCAATAAAGGCAGAGTACCACTGATGTGTACTTTCAAGGCCTGAGAGTAAGTCCAAAGAGCACACAGGGAATTTTATCACCACAGGCCCTGTCAGAGCCCCCCAGAATAAGGCACAGGAGAGATGCTTCCAATTTCTCTTCCCACTAAAGAGGGGTTATAACTGTGCCAGTCACAACAGCGGTACACAACACACCCCCCAGATTTCCTTCGCAAAACCAACCGAAGACTATTCCCTAACAAGTTCTCAAGAAAAACAAGAAAGAAGGGAAAAGATGCAACTGGTTATAAGCCGGGTCCTCATCCCCCAGGGCAGGCACAGCAGCAGCTTTAACTCTGAGTTCTCTTTTCATTTCCCCACGAGTTGCTATACAACAAACCCAACCCCACCTGCTGTCCCACTAAACTACACAATCCACTAGCTGCTGTGCTAATCATTGCAAAGAGAACTGATGAGCAGCTACTATATTGCATAGACTTCTAGTACTTTTTTGTTTTGCCCTCTAGCCCCGATGCTGCACTACCTCCACTTCTGGCTGCTAGAGGAGAAATAAAGCACAATGAGGATGAACAATGATATGAACGATGCTCCAAGCAATGCCGTAAGGCCTCAAATTGACTCCACTTTAGACTTTATCTAAATGAAAAGAGCAGGCAAGACACAGCGTTTTCGTGAACGCCAGACAGCCTGAAGCTATTTTTTCCCAGCCTTATGTGATTTTTCTGTAGCGCCCAATTTTAAAGCTAAGACTTAAAGTCTCCGCAGTGCGATCAGGAGCCTCCCATGCAAATGCCCAGCACAGAGCGGGCTCCAGCATCAGCCTCTTTAACAGAAGGCGCTGCTCGCCCCGGGCTAGCGCCAAGGAAAGCCACAGCTCCCCCCCCTCTCATCACCCACCATCCTACACCCGAAGGAAGCGCTGCCCCACGGCGGGACCACATCATCGTTCCCTCCGCCCTCCCTCACCCCGCTCCTGCGGGTCCCCAGCCCTGCAACAGCTTCTCCCTCCGCGAGGGAGAAAAACCCCGGGGCCCCCGCCCTGCTCCCTCCCGGCGAGGAGCCCCGGGGCTCCGCGGGGCCCGGCCGGGCTCCCCCCGCAGCCCCACTCACCTCGAGTAGAGCCGGCGGGCGGCGGAGCCCGGGCTGTCCCCGCCGGGCGGGCTCGCCATGGGCACGAGCCCCGCCGAGCCGCCCGCCGCAGCGGAGGCAGGCGCGGCTGCAGCCCGGCACCGGGCAGCGGAGTATGGCAGCGGCGGGAAGTGATGCACCGAGCAAAGAAACTCGCGGGCAGGCCCCTCCTCCGGCTGATGTCAGCCCCGCGGCGGGCAGCGGCCCTTCCTCCTCCTCCTCCTCCGCCCGGCGGAACGGGGCAAGCGGGGCCGAGCACCCCGCTGCGCCGCCGCCACCCACAGGGAGCACCGGCAGCGGGGTGGCTGCGGGGCACGGTTGTCCCCGCGTTCAACATCCCACTGCAGTGCCCCAGCCCTCAGAGCAGCCGCAGCAGGGACGAACGGAGCCACAGCAAGGTGCAGACACCACACCTGCACGTTATTGCAGGAGAAGAGTGGCACAGCACTGCTAACACACCCCATGTGCGGCCACTTAACTCCATGACAAGAAGCCTCTGATTTGGCTCAGCCTGAGCTCTTTTATCCTCAGGAGTAAGTGCCCACACCTGAGACAACCAGAATGAGTAGCAGAACTCAGCCCAGCTGTGTCAGCCTTACCTGAGTCAGAAGGGATGTGCCACAAGCAGGCTGAGACCCAGGTCTGACTGCTGTCTTTAGCAGCAAAGAATCCACTGGAAAAGGGATGCTTCCGTCCAGCAGCCTGCTCCTGTGTTAACTGTGTCCTGCTTAATCCCAGGGCCCCTGCTGTTTATCGTTAACCAGATATCTAGAGATGGATGTGGGTCATCTTTATGTGCCGCACCCAGCTCCCTCTGGTTTCCAAGGCCTGAGATGCTTCTGGAAAAGTCGTGAGCTGGCCACTCAGCAGAAGTCTGTCATAAATTAGTGTCACTTCTACAACATCACCAAATTAAACATCACCATTGTCACAGGCACCCAAAGCAGCACAGGAATGAATTGTGGCTTTCAGGGGGTTCTAGCAGCTCACTCTGCAGACACAGGAACCCTGTGGCTGGAGGGAAGCCAGAGCCATGTCCTACTTACTGGGCTGTTTCACCCTGCACAAAAGCCCCTCTCAAGTGCAAGCAGAGATTCTGCTCAGGAAAAACATCACCAGTAACACCCCACTAACAGACCACAAAAGCCTCTTTCCCAAGAGCTAATTGATTGAGCATTTAAATTCAAAACTAACACCCATAAACCTGTATTTGTGTCTTGGCTTAGGAACTATCTCAGTCCTGTAGATAAACCACAGCAGGGAAAGTTGAAACTATCCTGCCAAGAGCTGCCTCCTTGCCCAGGGTGGTGCCATGGTGTCCAGGGTATGTGCTGTACCACCCCACAAGGAACCCCTCTGCACCCCCAAGCAACCACCTGGAGAAGCCCCACTGGAGGGACAGGGGGGACCCTGGGCCTGGCCACTGCACCTCACACCAGCCACTCTTCACTCAGGATTGTGGTTTCACTCAGCAAACAGCCTGGTACAAGCAGCTCGTAACAAGCCCATGGAAACAAAGAATGGTTCAGCCCTGAAATCTTTACTATTTCCAGGGGGTGTTTGTCCGCGCCTCCCCCTTCCCCAGCCCCTCTTCCAGACAAGAATACCAATGTTAAAGATGAAAACCTGCTGCTGTTGTTACAGCCCTTCCTCAACAGCAGGCAACAGAGGATGCTTCGCTACAGCAGGCCCCAGCGCTGGGCCAGCATTAAATGGATGTGGGCAGAGAGAGTAATTGCCCTTTGGAGAAACAATGCAGGAAAGGGGAGTAAGAGAAAGGAGGGTGGAGGCCAGATTCCAGTTTGGGCTCTGGCCAGATGTATGGTGTTGCACAGAGCTCTGGGCAAACACGTCACCCGCACGTTAATGACACTGGAATCACTGGGTCGAATTCCACAGCCTGCGTTATGCAGGAGGTCACACCAAGATGAGCGTAATGGTCCCCTTTGGCCTTCAAATCCATTAATTTGCAATGGCTGATTTATCATCTGACAAACTCAGCTTCTTCTTCTTGTAGAAGTGGCAAATAGGTCACAATAGATTTGAATTCATTAAAAGAAATAATTCAGTTGCTCTGCTGTGGGTTGGATCTGGTTAACCCTATGTACTCATGCCAAGAAGCTCCCTGCAAGCACTTGGGCCTTAACCGCAACTCAGACCCATTGCTCATCTGCAAAGAAACAGGCAAATTACAAGAGTACAGACAGAAAGAAACCCCTGCACTTCAAAATGCCACTAATTCATCTGGTGAGATGTGTCCACTTTGTGTCATGTGTTGGGAAGGACCCAGAGCAGTTAGAAGGACTCCAGATGAATGTGACAAGTGTGACCTGTGAAAAAGAGGTAAAAGGAATTGACTTGTTCAGTGCAGATAAGATCAAGAGGAAGTGGAGTAGTAATTTTTAAACACAAAAGGGCTGCTGCAAAAAGGAGGAATGGATCATGGAAAAGAGGGTAGGATACAAACAATAAATACATTCTGAGGCAATGCAGGGGTCATTTCAGTAAGTCGGATGTTACAAACCTCTGCACCTCAGCAGCCTTCTGCTTCTAACATCTTAGGGCACATCATATTGTCCCTGCTAGTTACTGAACATCTCTAAACCTCCACTTACAAACTCAGGCGGAATCACAACACTAAGCCATAGGATTGAAGGATCCTTCAAACGTTGTAAGCTGGTTTTAGTATTTCTCTTAAAAATTGATTCCCAAAGCTATCACAACACAACATGAAAGAGCTCTAACTGTTGTCACATTTCCCACCACTTGGAAGAGACACCCTTGAAAGCAGCAAGGCACAGAAAGCTGAAGGGAAGATGCCAAGGCAGTAATATAGAACTGTGATATAGTCATCAACCAGCACGTGTTGCCAATCATTTAGGGACTGCCAGGACACAGGAACATCCCTGCACTGCCTCCATGTCCTCCCTATCCAGACACACCGAGGAGAGAGGCGCTCCCTCCAGAACACAATCTGCCTGAATCAGCAGGGAAGCTTCCCTGCAGCTCCTGCCATGGGCTGCTGGTGGCCTCTGCTGGGGTTGATGTGCAAAGGGAGCGCTGCGACTCAGCCTCCCGCAGCTGCCGGACCCCGCTGCGGTCATTGCGGCCCCGGGGCTGCTCCCGCTGGCAGTGGCTGCAGTGAAACACCAGCCCCTGCACTGCCTTTTCCTCAAACGGGCAGGTTCTGGAGCACTTTGCCATTGTCCAGCGGACTGCAAAAAGGGATCTTCTATATTGCTGTCAAGGTAGCCTGCAAGGGAAAGCAGGACGGGACAAGGAAAGAGAGTTCTGTGGACGTAGAACTGAGTAGTTTTTTCTGATCTGTTTTGGTGTGAAGGAAGGTACAAGTGATCCTTGTCCAGGGCAGGTGCAGCCCATTCCTGCCTCTTCCCCCCACCACAGTCATTTAACTCCTAATGCTCTTTCAGCAAGTGTGGCAGAAAAAGGATTTGTGGATAGTCTGTGAAATATTAGGATGAATAGACATGTTACAGATCCAGCCAAGAGAAGGGGGCAGTGAGAGCACTGATGTTGTAATGTGGCAGAAGGTGCTGGTAGGCAGTAAAGCTGGATGAAGCCCGCTTCCCAGAACCTGGGCACTAACACTCTTTGCTTATTTTCTCCGGCCCAGGGCAAAGCCCCCATGCTCACCCCTCTCTTTTCCTTGTACAGCATGAAAACACACTTGAATGCCTTCAGCAGCTTTCACAGGTACATTCCTTTATGTGTGGGTGCACACAGCAGCTGAGGATTTGGCCTTTCCAGCTTTGTGCATATTTATATATCCTGTGTCTCTGATGTCCTGAATTTCCTTTTCATTAATGCTCCTCAGCCTCGGAAGAGGCAAACAAAGAGGCAGAACTCATCCGCTTCCTTTAGATTTCAAGCTTGACTGAAAACGCTTCATTAAATAAATAATAAGGGACTTAAAATTCCCTTGTCCTCCACCTCATAGTTTGTTTGATGAGATGACACCATAGGGCCTGGCATTGGCCTGCTTGGTGGATAGGGATTTTTTAAGGCAGGGCCAGAGGGGACTGTCCTGACTTTGTGCTAATGTCACGTATGCTTTGTGTCTGAACAGCCAGCACCTCCTTTTCAGCAAAATCTCACTCTTCACCTCAGAGCACAATGACTGCTTGCACAGTGCCTGAGAAGCCTTTGAACTCAGCATGTTTCAAGCACAGACACCGGTGCATGTTGTAACAGCATCCTCATGCCAACCTCTTCCTCTGCCCTGGCATTGCTCTCTGAATACTGCCTGCTAAGGGGAGCCTGGCCCAGCTTGCCCTGGCACTGGCCCCAGTGTGGGAGCTCAGGGCTCAGCAGACACCCTCATCTTCCCCCTGGACTCCAAGCTGGCTGCTCTGTGTCTCAGTTTGTCTTTCCCGTAGCCATAAATTCCCTGAGACCCCAATGGGCCTAAAGGGAGAAGAGGAGCTGGCTGCACTCTCCAGGATGGATGATGTCTGATAACCAGCCAGGGGGACAAGAACAGCCTTGCTGTTATTAACTGCCTCTCACATGTGCCCCCGGCACTTCAGTGATGTCTACAGCAAGCTGGACATGCTCGAGCAGCGCATGGAATTCTGCTTCCTTGTGAGCTCTTGGTAAACTCCCATCCCTTCTCACTGCTTGGGGGCATATGCTCCCACTGCTCCTGCAGGAGAATGAAGCCTGCACAGTGCCTGCTTCAGGAGATCCCTTAAGACTTCAACCAAAGCCCTGTGAGGGTGAAGGGACCCAGAAATATGCTGGCTTTTTATGGGCTTGGAAGACTTTCATGGCAGTAACAGAGAGCTTTTCTTGGAGGCACTTTGCCAAAGCTTTGCTGCTCGGGCAAACACTCCAGAGCTCCCGGTCAGGATCAGCTCCTATTTACAATGGTGGCAGTGGGTTTGTTTAACAGCTTCAATTTCCAACAGTCAACAGACAAAAACCCAATTTCTCCTGCTGGAAGTGTGGGAAAACCTCCTGTTAGCATTAACTGGAATAAGAAGCAATCTTTTGTTATACTTGAAAGCCCGGGGGAAAAACACACATTTTCCCCTTTGAAGGGGCGTTATTTCCTTTTTAAGTCACAACTGTTGGCAATGCCATTAATGCCAAGCAAACGTGTTTGGGTTTGTTTTGAAACAGTTTGCCAATATTGACACTGTAATCGCGTTGTTTAGTCAGGCTTCTGTGAGTGTTTTTAAACACCCATAACTGACAGGGTTGATTCTGTTTAACTCAGAGCATGAGGAGGAGCAGGAGGAGCTG